GGTGGATATCCCGAAGAAGATTAAAAGGATCATGTTAATCTCCTGTGAAAACAAAATCAAATGCAGATGCAGTGACATATCTATAGGAGAGAGACTTCCTCATGTGTACTTCCTTTGAAAGCAAGAGACTTCTTTAATAGGTTTTTCTCCTTTGATTTATAAAACATCCTTAAAATGGGGCTATTTAAAACATCAGCTGATTACTGAGGAAAACAAGTATATTAAATGTGTGTGTGTGTGTGTGTGTGTGTGTGTCATTTGTTCGGCTTTATTTCATGCTTTGGGTGAAAATTTAAGCAGAACTATGAATCTTCCGACTCTTTGCCAGGAAGGGCCAATTCGAGAGCCTAAAATTCCTAAATTTTCTTTGAAATAAATTAGGGGTGAAGTGGTGGTCTTACGTCATTATTGAGGTATATTGGTACTATGTGTCCTCTTTCTATGACCGACGTCTTTCTTCTCTGCTCCCTTCCTTCCTGAAAGCCCTGTTTTCCTGTCTCTAGAGAGAGCCATCTGTTAGAATACGGCTGTGGTTGCAACCCCAACTCCGACGTTCCCTTTTAAATACTTCTTGACCCAACAGTGACAAAGAAGCGTGGCTGAATATAAACATAAATGAAATGTGCTAATGTGGAATGCAAACAGTATGAAAATGTAAACTTAAAATAGGAAGGAATCCATAGCCAAAGAAAAAAGTCTATTAAAATTCTTTCAATCTTTTAAAATACAACATAAAATGAAAAATGTTTCGCTGCAGAATAACAGTTTGGCTTCTTTTATGGTCGAAAAGAAGGGTAATTACGATGGTCAGGAAAACACATTGAGCAGCTGTATACGGTTAACAAAAGATCCATTACATGATGCGCGAGGAAACTGGCACTCCACACGTTCACGTTTCCTAGAAATTAGACAGTCTTCCCAACTGGAGGAGATACCAAAAGAGACTGTTTTCTATTAATTGTGGCTTTGTACCAGTGGGGTTTTCAGAGCCAATTGGATCATTTTTCTTTTGGGACAATTCCCACATACTATTATATGGGATTTGCATATACTGATTTATACGTACTCTGAAGTATGTACTCTGTAATGCTGTAAAAAGTGGTTTTTAGGTTCTTAAAAATCATCTATTTTTAATGCTTTAAAAATGCCCATTTCAGGAGATTCTTTTACACATGTACATCTGTTTAGAAATTATGGAGGAAAAAAGCATAACAAATAACTCTGCAGTTTGTTTTATGAAGGCTAATTAATAGGTACTTACTCATTAAAGACTAGGTCTGGCGCAAAATAGAGAAATTGGCTGTTCGTATGTTTGTACGATCTCCAGCTCAAGGCAAATGATGATAGACACATCCAAGAATACTGGATTAGGGTAATTTGGTCCTCAAGAGGCAAGTTTTTAAATCCTGAAGAACAGAACAATTAATCACAGAAAATACACTTAGCATTTAAGTACATTCCAGGAAGAAGCTCCTTAAGTCAGCCTCTAACAGCTACCTTTACTCTAATAGACTTTAATCAATTCAACAGGCATTTACGCGGCACCCACCATAGGCCTGGCCCTGTTCAATGCTCTGCTGTAAATTCACCCTAGATGCTCAATAAGGGCAAACTGCTGGGGCCAACTAAAACTGAAGAGTTGGGTGAGGTTCAGTGTAGATGACAGTGGAAACTCTTCCTTAGACCAAAAGATACTGTATAACCTGTAAATCTTGCTTCATCTCACCCACAATTAATGACGCCAAACTAAAGGGCGATTTAATAACTGTTGACACCTGCAAATCTGCAATAATGGCAAAGGATTTTAGTTTTCACAACTCTGTAGCACTTCACACACAGGAGTCCTTGATTCCCATAGTCTGGGGTAAGACAGGATGCAGACAATGCTCAGCGGAGGAGCAGCTGTCCTCAGCACCCGGTCCCTTAGGAGCCTTCTTTTGTTCACTGGTGCCCTTTCTGTGCCCTGTATCCTGTTATTCATTGTAGAGTTTCACCCAGGCAAGCTCCACCTGAAAGTACCGGTCATCAGAGCCTTCCCCAATGTCAGGTGTTCTGGCTGCTGATCAACCACAGGTAATCTAAGAAACTACTCTGGATTCAGGAACCAGGATAATGCAATGACAATTCCAAGTCATGCTTCAGTACATTACTAGGGCCTTATTAATAAAACTCTACAGCACAGAAAATGACCAAGAAGTAGAAATTTCAAGCACAATGTTAAGGGTGCTGGGAGTAAGGTGGTAGTTTTGGACCACAGGGCTGCTCAGGGACTCTTATGATTGACTTACTAGGCCCTGGCTTACCTGGCCTATGCTTAGATGAGCCCTGGTTATGAGCTGGTAATACAAGGGTTCATTATGACTTCACCAACATAATGTATTTTCACCTTAATAATACTTTTTTTTGGATGAAATTTCCCATTTTAATCGTCAACGTCAGAAATGTAGCTGTTCTATTAACAACAGAATCCAGATCCTTCTTTCAAAAAAGAAATGAGCTCCTTAACGAGATTTTTCCTCCACACTCCATCTACTGGCTATCCACGCCAAACCCTGGAATCGGGATGTAAGGGATGCTAACTCCAAGGGCACTGTCAGCCAGTGGCCCGGCAGAGGGAGATTGGCTCAGGATGTGGACTGCGCGGGGGGAGACGCAATCCTACCTGGAAGTACCTTTGCCCACTTCACGACTTGAATCATCTGTTTGCCGGCCAGGCGGTTGAGCGTGGACAGCAGGTTCTCGGCTGTGTCTGGCTTTGAGCTGTCGTATCCCGCATACACAGTTTCGGGCTCGATGCTCTCCAGGACCATGACAGGGGAAGGTGTGAGCGCCCGGGAAATGGTGGAGAGCTGGGGGACCAGTGCCGTGTTGACTGAGGGCTCTTTTGCAGGAGCGATGTAGGTTGTCCCCTCCTCGGGGCTCTGGGGGGGTGGGGGTGGTGGCTGCTGCTGCTGCTGCTGCGGAGGCTGATCCTCATGAATTCCTTTTAACTTTCCCAACTTCTTTGACTTTCGGGCTGCAAAAGAAAATCATAAACGATACGGGCAAATTACAACTGCCCAAGGCAAATTACAGTGAACACTGACTTGATGTCAGTCAAGGCTTACTGGCATCCTGTCTTTCCTTCTGAAGAGTTCTTGCTACACTAATAGGAACACAGCCTTTTAAATACGTTTCTAATAGAAAATGTACAAAGCCCAGCTATGATCACTTTGGACATTAGGATAATGAATGCCTGCCTTCTTTCATTCATTCTAGAGATCTGCCCCGCTTGCCTCCTAGAGCAAGATGCTGCACACTCTGCATAGGAACCCAGCTAATCACTGCAGCATGATCAGACCTCATCCTGGTCCTCAACAGGTGTTCAACCCAGTGAGGGAGGAGCCAAGGTGTGTGTCACAAAATCTTATTGCAATGCAGGATAGAAATGGGTCCCAAGATAAAAATAAATACAGCTAAAATTTAATGAATGCTTAGCAACACCAGGCTACTTAATACAAACAGATAGAACAAAGTTACAGGATCCAAAGCAAACACAGACCAGGGCTAGGCTACACCAATTAACTTGATTTTTTTTTTTTTAAATAAACCTTCATGGGCTGGGGATGTAGATCAGTGGTAGAGCACATGCCTAGCATGTGTGAGGCCCTGAGTTCGATTTCAGTACTGCAATCAATCAATCAATCAATCAATCAATCAAACCTTAAAAAATAACCATTTGTGTTTACAATTACAGGCATTAATATTTATCACACTCGTCACAGAAAAACCTGCAATGCAGATGGAAATATATCACCTCACAGCAGATATATTTGCTACACAGTCATTAGATATCTGAATTCTAAGGCATTTAAAATTAACAAAGCAATTTTAAAGTTTCACTCGTTAGTTTGTCCACTGTATCTGTCAATAAAAGACTTGACAGACAAATCTGGTTTTTAGAACTGTTTCAATGAAAAACAGATGTTTCCCATTCATATATGCTAATAGGAAGCTGCAGGGAAAGTGTGGGCCAGCAGCCCTGAACAAAACAGTAAGCGCAACCAGGATGCCTCTGATGAATCAAAGGCTGAACGTAAACAACAACAAAATCAGCAAAGCGCCTCCAAAACCAAAAATAGAGAAGAAAAGAATCAAGCATCAACATCATCCAAAATGCCTGTCAACTGGAGATTCTATGAGAGTTCCGAAAAATTCTCAAGAGCATGGGTTGGTCCTTGGGGCAATTAGATACCGTTCCTAGGTCACATGAACTTCTCTAAGACTTGGTTCATTTGTCTGGAAAATGGCTGGCTGTGACAAATAATAATGTGTTAGAAATAACCACTGATACAGAAATACTATTTCACTGTCACTTTTCATTCTTGCTCACAATCTTGTAAATATTAAAAATATTCTAGTTCATCAAAATGTTCTTATCCTTTATATAAGACGTGGTAAGATTTGATGACAGTCATAATTTGATTGACTAGAAACAGCCATGGGTGATATTTTCAAATTTATTAAAAGTGATATTTGCTTGCAAACTAATTATAAAATTCCTATTTGTTTTAGGCCTTAGGTCTACAATGCTGTGTTTATTCTCATGGCTGACTTAAGGTCAATGCTATGAAATTCTATGAAGAATACTTAATATTTTCTCTAGCACTTATACAGGCATAACCTATCTGTGGCATAACTTATTGAGCAGATTGTCAATATCACATTGAGCATTTTGGTTTTACTCAACTTTATGCTTTAATTTTGTGAATATCTTTTTGGGATACCTGGAATCGAGTAATAATCTATATTTACTTAAACAGTTCAAGGTAATCGATGCCTTTAGTGTGCAGCTTCTATAGCCAACCATATTTACCCAGTGACTTTTCTAAAAGCCCAGGGAGTATAGTTTATATAAATAATTATATTAGTCAAAGTAACTTTTTTAGAAATGGCAATCTCATTATACTTAAACTTTTGAAAGTTGGAAATTAGGTCTACATACTCCTAATAGCATCATATCACTCCCTGTGATGCTTATGGGTACTAAACAAATGGTTATTGAATACGTTTGTTTCATCTCCAAATGTTAATCAATTTAACAAACTAATACATATATGAAGAATTAATTTACTTCCCTGTGGCACATGAAGGCCAACTTCTGAGATTGTAAGATAAAACCTCCAAGTTGTTATTCCTTTTCAAAGTTTCTACTAATGATCCATTTGTGGAGTTACGCTCTTATAATATCATCTCTCAAATACAAGCTAAAATGTAGTGAACACTTCGGTTCTGAGCACAGTTTCATGTGCTGTGTATATTTTTTGAGCATTCTGATGCTTACCATGGCCCTAAGACCAGGCACTATTATCTATTTCCATGTTTTTTTTTTTTTTCAAGTGAAACACAGAGATGAGGTAATCTTCTATGGCTGCAGAGCTGGTTAATACCAGCGCAAGGATTTGGATCCAGTGCTGGCTAAGAGCAGACACTTATAACTTCTATACTCTATAGTTTTTCTTCTAATCCTTTCCTCTAATTTGTATTATTTTTATACTTTTAAGATTAGCACAAGCTTCAAATCCAAGTATATAATTAAGATGTTTGCTAATTACATTTTCAGCTGAAGATACTTAATGAACATTGTTTCTATTATCCAAAGCATCAGTGAACATAATTTTAGGTCTTATCACTGTTTAGCACCTTACTACATTAAGGCAGAATTAATGGCCATTGGGCTTGGGGACCTCATGATCCAAGGAAGCCAGAGCTATGCTCTTTCTCAATTGCCAGCACCAGCAGCCCTACATATGTATGTGTGTGTGTGTGTGTGTGTGTGTGTGTGTGTGTGTGTGTGTGTGTGTGTGTATTTGTGCACAGGGTACACAAATGTGACTATAAATGTCTCCCAATTTCACTTCAACTCACCGTCCCACCTGGATGTGACCATAACTAGTGTGTGCTTAGTGACTGCCCTCAGGTGCCCAGTCGTTAATGACTAATGATAGTGTCTTGGCAGCCAGGTTTCCCTGGCACTGCCAAGAGACAGATCTCCATAGATTCCTCATGGATTTCCTGCCCCAGGAACTGGCAGTGGTGAGGCCCGGCTTCCTATATCTACTAACACGTGCAACGGCAAGCAGGGAGCCTCTCGGTGGGGCTGTAGAATAATTGAGAAAAATTTCCAGTGGCATCTCAAGATCCACTAAGGCCTGGAAACACGCTTGGCAAGATTTCTTGCTCGGTTAGCACTACCTCCAGAGGCTGAGGTGACCCTCAAGTCCAAGCACCCATGGTACAGAAAGATGGCTGCCCACAGCAGCCCCAAGATGATGAGATCCACCGAGTTTTTCTAATGCTTCCGTCACTTACAGACTCATTTGTCTAAGAAATGGTCAGAAGGATAACCACCCCCAATACCTCCACTAGTGAAATACAAGGTGGAGATCTAGAAGAATAAAGATTTTTTTCCCCCAATCACACCATTTCACTAGGAAAAAAATAAAGCGAGAATTCTGACATTTTACAAATGCTTTCTTCCATCTCTTGAAATTTAAGGTCCTGGCAATAAACATCAGAAAATTATGTTACAACATGTATTTTTCTGTTCACGGGCCACATGTAATTACAGCCCACAGGACACTGACGGCACCTCCTCCATGCACTTTAGCAGGTGATTTTTCTTGCCACCTCATACCTGGGGCCTAGATTTCATCGAAATGACCCTGACCATGTTTCTGCATGACTTCACTTTGTCTTCCCGCTGCCAGAGGAGACACAGGGGGCAACTAAAGATTTCTATGTCATTTTTCTACAGGTTTAATTGGTCGCACAGAAAAACCATCCTAATTTGTACTAATAAGAAAAGGAGCATCTAAATGGTCCTCAAGGCAGACTCTCTAATAGAATGTGGTGAGGGTCCAGGGGCAAGATGCACTCATGAATAAAGAAATAGCTACTCAATTGAGTAGAGCAAAGTGGCATTTCAATTGTTGATAAATACTCCTAGAGTGGTTAATAAAGTTGAAAATGGAGTGTTTCCAAAAGTATTTCCAAGTATTTTCAGCTTAACAAATTAACATGCATTGTTAATTTTGTTAGCTTTGAAAGCCCACAAAGATAAACACAAACCCAACCTTGGGCCACTTTAAAAGACTTTCCAAATGAATGGATCTCCTCCATATTATTAAATTTTAACGTGTGAATCTATCCATATGCATCTTTATCTATATCCATAATAAATACAATTTTGTTGCTGTTGTTGTAGGATATGTTTACCAATTACTTAGCAAAAAACCTAATATCCATAGTGTAGGGAGTTTCCTGCTTTGCCAGCAATGCAATGTTGACTCACAAAAATCTGAGCCCTGACAAGATTAAAATCTCAGAGAAGCTGAATCAATACAGTAATTAAATTTATAAAGCTGCTGCTGATAATTTTTAGGTGAGGATCCCGACAATATATTTGGAGAGAAATGGCAGGGAGAAATGATCTCATCTCTTCTTGGGGCTCACACTTTCCTACCCTCTCTGTGTAATTCTCACCATGCCCAGAGCAGGAGTTGGAAGTGAACCAGGCCACCCTCCTGTATGGGGATCCACCCAAAAGGGCCTCCCTCAGCCAGAAACCAGAACTGAGCAGAGGCTGGTGGGAATACACGGGAGTGGGAACAGGGTTCTCTGATAAAAAGGTTCTGGAGGACCCCTTCCCTGTGACAGAAATCCACCTTCCCTACTGGACACAGGGGGACAGAAAAGGGGCAAAGCCAGGGCTTTCCAGTGGTACCTCCAAGTAAAACAGATGATGAACACGATTATTTGTATGGCATTTGTATTTTCTGTAATCGTATTCTTCCTCCCCCCCCCCACCCTTCATTCCTTTTTTTCTTTTAAAGGAGTCAGATTCAGGAGAATGTACACAAGAGGACAGATGCGGGAAAGCTCCATCTTGGCCCAGGGTTTTAAAGATGAGACCACTTGTCTTCAAGGCATGGCCAGGCTGGAGACTGGGTGAAGCCAAACAAGAGCCTCACAGGA